GCCTTTGTCTTATTGGAAGGCCTACACCAATCGTCAGTAGCAGAAAAAAAAAAAAAAAAAGGTAAAAAAAAGGCGCAAAAAGAATTAGAAAAAGAAGCTGAGTCTGCTCTTCTTTGTTAGCTTTAAATGATATCAGAATGAAGAAGAGGGTTGTATTTCTATTAAAAAAAGGATTTTCTTCAGTGTTGGACTGGGCAAAGAACAGGTGGCTTCAATATCCTCTCTCTTCTTTGATGCTCAACAAGTAATTTGTTTTGTCTGGACCAGACTGTACATACACCTACTCTTAAAGGGCCATGGTGCCTTTGAAACCAGCTGTTCTTGCCCCTTGGGTAGATGGCTGAATTATTTTGAACAACACTTACTTAGGGACACTCCTGCACCAACACTTAAAGTCAACCCAGCAAAAAAATTGGTTATATGAACATTTACTACATTGAGCTTTATTTTACTAAGTTAGAATAAAGCCAGACAGCAACCTGAATGACTGATGTGCAACAAACAGCAGCTGAAGGACCCCTAGATAACACTATGACAAGCATCATAAAAGACAATTAATTGCAAAATTGACCCTCTCCTACCTTAGAATCATACAATCATTTAGGCTGGAAAAGACCTCCAAGATTATCAAGATCATCTGTTAACCTAACACTGCCAAATTCATCACTAAACCATGTCACTAAACACCACATCTATACATCTTTTAAGTACCTTTAGAGATGCCAACTCCACCACTTCTCTGGATAACCTGTTCCAATGCCTGACAACTCTTTCTGTTTAGTTTTTCCTAATATCCAGACTAAACTGCCCCTAGTGTAACATGAGGCCATTTCTTTGTCCTGTCTCTTGTTACCTGGGGGAGCAGATTGAGTTCCACATTGTTACAATCTCCTTTCATGTAGATGTAGAACGCAATAAAGTCACTAAGAGCAGTAGGAGAGTGACAAGAAGCACACTTAGTCTTTATTTATTTCCTGGCTATAGCTTAGAGGATTTGCTAAAATACAACAAACACACAACTAAATACAAAACAAAAGACACAACTAAAAAATCCCTTCAACTCCCCAAAATCACCAAAAAAGCAACTTCTCCTTCTTACTTTTTATTTTGCAGCAAAACACTAATTAAAGAAACCTTGCACTGTAGCACCAGAACAGCACCACCCATTGATTTTCATCAGGGCAGAGTTCTATCTTTTGAGTTTACACAAGGCTCAGCTTCATTTCAGCCTCCTCTAGCATCACTGTCTAATAAATCATTATTCTTGGCCTCCTCTCCTTTGGCCACAGTTAACCAACTTCTCTCTTCAGGCATGAGACAATTTTTTAAATGGATCACAAACATGATCCGAGCAGGGAAAATATATTCTTGTTTTAAATTCAGGTTCTTGTTTTAAATTCAGGTCATTTCATTGTACTGGTCTCAAACGTAGTCCAAGAAAATAACTTGTTGGCACATATTTTTGAAGCATGACAGAAGCAGAAAGCAGGGTTGTCACATCTTAAACTGGCTATATCACCAGAGAAGTCAGCGAGGAATTGCACCTCAGATTAAAAAAATAAATTCCCATTTTGCTTTCTTATCGAAGTGAGCAAAGTGACAGTCAAACTAGCTGTGGAAATCTGACAATGATAAGGTATCACGGACTGACAGGCTTGCACATAGAAAGAAGTGAAAAGTTCAGGGAAAATGAGGCTGCCCAAGCAAAGAGAAAGCATGAGGCAAATGAGTTTGGACATGAAGTGTTGTGGAATGTAAAAAACCCACATGATCCTAGATTGAGGGATGGCCATCTGGAGCACTGACTGAACTAATTGAACCAACTGCAAAAAGCAGAACTGAGGCTGATAAACCATCACTGCACTGCACCACTTATAATTCAGCAATATCGAACTATTTACTAAAATAATTTTTCCTCCTTTACTTGCCATCTTTGGAATCAGAGACAATAAGCTTATAGACTATTACAAACAAGTGATGGTGACAGTGTAAATAGCAAATAAATAGCTTTAAGATCCAAAACATATAGAGAGTTTAGATATTGCAGCTTCTTGAGGGCATCACTGCCTCTGAATTTCATTTGTCAAAGGTTGCCACTGTGTACCTGTTACTGATACCTGCAGTTAATCAGACAGGATACAAGTTCTTGCACTTCTATGAAAGTTACCCAGATGGAGCATCGCTACTGAGGCATGCTTTCGCGTTAGACTGAAACAGATTTTGCTGTGATAAAAGTGTACTGTGTGGTTATTTCAGCAGGATTACTGACAAGGGGTACATATTTTTGAATGCCAAGTGTACTGAAGCCATCAGCGACCTTTCTTTGCAATTTCAAAGTTTGCTTAATACTCATATATATGTGTGAGAATACATTCCAGGCTAAAAGCAGAAACTTCTTCAGAGGAAAAGGAAAATGTATGAGATTATTTCAGATTTCCAGCTCCTGTCAAATGTATTTCACTTCATGATTCCTGTCAAGAATGATCTGGCAATGACCAGTTTGAGTAAAATGCATAATGGCATCTCTGTGACATGTAATGGATTAAGAGTCAAAATCAGAGGAAGCAAGTAGGTGGATGATGGTATAAAGTATTAACGGCGATATTAAAAAAGAGAAATACCCAGGATCAAAACTTTGTTTCTATTATAGGTGGTCGGATGTCTGACAAAAATAATAGACAAGGGAACAAGGGTTTTTTCAGAAGTTGTTCTGACACTACTAACACAGTGCTCCTTTTTGCTTCTTTCAGATGTCCTTGCCTTGGTCAGCAAGAAAAGCTTCTGAAAAGTAAAAATGGTGGTAACTTGACTCATCAACAACACTTGATTCATGGAAGAGATCTGATACATGACATTGACTTGAAAAGCTTTCCTGGCTTATTCATCTGCTAGGTTTAGCATAAACCTTTTAGAAAGAAGAATTTCAGATTTCTTCTCAATTTTTCATTTGAGAACCTTGAAATTCAGCAGTGCTAGACAACCAAGATCTCCTGCAAGCACAGCAAACATTTTGAGAATCCATCATTCACTGTAATTATTACACCACAGGAGAACCAGAGACTGACCCCTTCAATTTTAATCTGGATTCTTTGTATTTCTTTGTATTGAATTAAAAGTGTCACAGAATTCAGTGTCCTCGACACCAGTAGGAGAAACATACTGAGCTACAACTACCTCTGCTCATTGAAACCTTAAGGACAGACAAAAACATGACTTCCCAAGAAGGTGTGGTCCCAGTGTTACCTAACAGAATGGGATTTGGTGCGCACAGAATAGACATCTGTCAAGACTGAATTCTGTGTTAATGGTTATTCAAAATTCACCACCAGCTGTCTTCATACTTATTTCCTGACCTTGTTTTCCTGAATTTACAACTACTAATGTGCTTACATCACAGTAAGCCTAACAAAGTGCAAATCAGTACCAGAGTAAGTCACTGCAATAATATAAATAATAAAAAAGTCCTTAAATAATGTTATACTTTGAGCTGGTGATACACTGGAAATTACTG